AAAATCTTGAAATTGAATCCAGCGGTCTCTCAACATGATTTGCCTCGAAGGCATCGTTGAATCGTTGAATATTTTATGCGAATTATGTCTCTTTATCTCTTTTTCTTCCGCGCGACTCTGAGAATAAAGATTATTAATCACGCTTTTCCGTCTCATCGCAAACACATGTAGATTTTTTTTCAAGAGGGAAGAGGGTTGTGTTGCGAAAGAAGTCTGCCGAAAATAGACGGATCATATAGAGTAGATCGCTTCGATCTTCGAAAGCGGTCTACTTGCAAACACAGCAAGAAGTGCGCTGCCAGGATGAGTTGAAGGAACACGAGGCAACGAAGAAGATAAGAGAGAGAGAGAGAGAGAGAGAGCAAGATGAAAATCGCTAGCGGGTTAGATTGAAATTTTACATATATGGCATATGTAAGCATCATCATCACAAAAGCGAAGGCGTGTACCCGCGAGAGAGAGAGAGAGAGAGAGAGAGAGAGAGAGAGAGAGAGAGAGAGAGGAAGGGAGGGAACACGTGCAGCTTTCTCAACGTTGACTCTATAAAGCCCTGGAGGGTTGATTTAGCTTTCCTAGTTTCTGCGGATTTCTGACTTTCCTCGCGGATACAGGATCCTCCAAGGAACTTCCTTCCGGCCAAGTGTTGGCGTTGACTTGTCCGATTACGAATTAAGCAAGCAATGCGAGCATAACTTGCAAGTGTAACAACATAATTTTGATATTGACCCACCTTGAAACTCTGACAACTTACAATACCACCTATAATTCCAAGATTTTTAGTTGCAGCTGAAAAAATAGTTCGTCGACCACGTATATACTGCGAAGGAAACGTCTCTTTCTAAAAATATCTCCCTCATAACAGTTTCGTAATCTTGCGACGCGCTACTTTAAAAGATCTCAAATTGATAAAGAAAGACCGACGAAAAGTGCATCGCCGACTCGTGAGAGTTGCGGGCGCGGATATTATATGTGTGTGTGTGTGTATATATATATATATATGTATATACAATATATATATATATATATATATCGCACTCTCGCGGCGTTGCTCGATGTGAAAGTGGCGTGCGCCAGTGTCGCGAGTGTAAATAACAGTTACTATTCCATTGTGCGATCCTCTTCCGAGGTTCCCTTGTGACATGCTTTCTCTCGCGCCATTATCCGGCTGTTTGTACGTGACTTCTCTCTGCGTGACTGTCGGACGTAAAGCTCGCATTTTTTATGACAGTTTTCAGGTTTCCCGTCCTCTTCCCGCTCTTCTCAAGTTCGCCGCTTTGTCGAACTTTCCACTCTCTTTAGGAGGAGTCTCCTCGCGACCTCGCCCTCTTCGTCGTTTTATTCTGACTTGACTACTCCCATCGCGCCGCAAGTCGTCCCACGTTATCCGGCCCACCTTCGCCAGCCGGTGGTTCAAATTTCTGACGAGGAGGCGAAATGAAAAGGGATTGCCGACGAATATGGCGATCTCGTTCTTTGCAGACGCAACTTTTTCCCCCCGAGTGTCACTGATCTCTCTCAGAGCTTCGAAATTGACCCGCGCTTTTTTTTTTCTCGTTTATCCGCCACATCCACTGATACATTTGTTGTTATTTGTCGGATTAGAGTTCGTTGCTTTATGTTCATTGTTTTCGACTGTTTTATTGAAATATGTTGAAAATATCAGAGACATTATTAAAGTTCACTTTTTGACGTACGTCACACACTTTTTAATTAGTTTTACAGATTTCGCAATTATTTGAGGAATAAAGCCGTCGTATCTCACCGACAGCGGATTAACTGCGTGTTCTCGCAGAAGTTTCCCCGGCGGTATCTGTTCCGCTCTTTTAGGGCTGGCTCAGTCGGAAGGTCGAGAGATGTAGCGAGAGATCCTAGCGAGAGATTATGGACAAAATTTTCTGAAACAAATTCTCGAGCTGTGAATCTACCGAAGAAACGACGAGGCGGAGCGTCGAATCGTCGTGCGGAATAGTTAAGGACGCGAGTTGAGACGTTGATCCGCACAGAGCGGATTGATTGGAACTGGCCGTTTCGTCGGGAGAGAACGATATTAACTCGCTTCGCTTCACGTACGATCGTTTGTGATTGCGATTAAGAGCTTAAACGCCATTACTTAACGATCGCGCGAACAAAACGCGTGTATCAGTCCCGAAGGAAATGCGAGATCGATCTTTCGAAAGTCCGCTCTGTCAAAAGACTTTATCGCGCTTCTTCTTCCTCGCAATTAGCGCGTTCTCTCGAAAAAAATCGCTCTTTTTTGTCGGAATAAAAATGTAATCTTCTACGAGAGATATAAAAGTTTTTACTGCACCTTGCCTGTAATTCATCATTTAATATTTCGCGGATAATTTTATTAACCTCGCAGATGTAACGATGTAAAATCAATAGCGGTCGGTGATCATTTCTCAATTTTGTGATCGCTTTTAAGCGCAGCAATTTCTCACAGACACACTACATCGATCAAATTATTTTGAAGTTTTTAATTTATCGACGTCAGAGATCGAAAATACGGTGTATCTATTATATTTGAAATATCACGCCCGAAGTATTTTAATTGCCCTGACGGATGCAGACGGTGATAAAAAAATGATATATTTCTTGTGTTAAAAGAGATATATAAATTCGCAATATGTTACAATGCGGCGCGAATAAGAGCGAAAAGAGACCAAATTCGCGGCGCGATTCCGCGTCACGGAACGAGAAAGGGATAAGCTCCCACGAGGGAAAACTTTCTTCACACTTCAACGAGAATCTCTGTAATTTAAATCCTGTCCCGCGTCGCCCGGGTTAGCTCTCTCGCCATCTCCTTCTCTCTTTTTATCCCGGCGAGTATTTTTACCACCTTCGTCTTTCTTTCTTGGTGTTTTTTTTTCTCGGAACGAAGTAAAATAAGCTCTCGATATCTCGCGTCGACATACTTCTCCTTCACGTTTTCCCGGCCACGTCGCTCTATCGAAAGATATATATCTCGCTTTTCCCTCTCTCTCTCTCTTTCTTTCCTTCGGCCTCGATTAGCGGACTTTCCTTCGCTTCTACGTTCTCCAGACCGGACGGCGAGATAAACTGCGCGTGTTTCCGCGGATTATGCTGCCGGATCCCATTATTTCTCTTCGGAAACGTTTGTAATCCGCGACACCGGGCCTGTGAAATTTTATAGGATGCAACAACGACGCGCGAATCAGTTTCGAGAGTTAGCTCTCGAGTTGAGAGCTCCGATCGATGACGAAACCGTTCGATCATCGGGTTCTCTCTCTCTCTTTCTCTCTTCGCGCGAAAGGTTCGCGCGAGTGTTTCTTGCTTCTAATCTGTTATAAATGATGCATAACCATGTATTTTCGTATACACGCTCCCTCGAACCTCTCGGGTTATTTTCGTCATCTTTGTGAAAACGTCGAGGTTGAGATTTGCGCAAATAGGTATATATATCTCTTTCTCGAATATAACGCGAGAGATATTGAAAATGCCGAGTCCCGCGAAACGAGCAAAGTAAAAACACATAAATTGGTTTCGCGTCTTTCCTTTTTTCTTTTTTTTTTTTTTTTCTTGTTGCGCGGCAAAAGTGTGTTAAAGCGTGTTATTAATTATGTTTACCTATAGCGATAAAATGCAAAGCGCGGAAGAACAGCTCTAAAATACTGTTACACCGCTATTAAAAAGCTATTAACGAAGCGGAGCGAAGTAACTTTATTCATTCGCGGGAAACAAGCTTGTGCTCGCGAAACCGGACGCAACCAAGAGCTCACTCCCTATCTTTTTCTATCTCTTTCTATCTCTCTCTCTCTCTCTCTCTCTCTCTCTCTCTCTCTCTCTCTCTCTCTCTCTCTCTCTCTCTCTCTCTCTCTCTCTCTCTCTCTCTCTCTCTCTCTCTCTTTCTCCCTCTTTCTCTCTCGATAAATCGTGCCACTTAACAACACCGCGAGCACTGATAAATTGCGGCCACGACGTTTTCTTAACTCGCCGATTGCGCATAAATCAAGTTAGACGTTGTACTTGAGATAACCGCGCGGCTGCGTGATTCGCGCATCAGGTGCGTCGATATTTTCATTGTTGCAACCGCATGCACCCGGTGCGGCGCGTCCGCCTTTAATATCTTCCGCGGCGAAGTACGCGGCGAGCAGCGCTTTCCATCGTGCAAAAAAATAAAAAAAAATAAAAAATAAAAAAAAAGAGAGGAAAAAGAAAGCGCGCGCACACGCGCCCGCTGCCGATAAAAAACAGGCGGCAGAAACGCCCTTGCGCGGTCGTCCTCGACCTCCTCGCGTTGTGCGCTCCACCCCGCGCATTCTTCAACTCTCGTATATATAGTCGGCCGTATAATTGGATAAACAAGGCCGATATTTATGCAAGTGCCGGACCGACACGAAACGCGCTGTTTGCAACGTTACGCACACTTGCTGTATGCGCACAAACATAAATTTCGCGGTTTTGACTCGCGCGAGCGGCAACATCAAAGCAAATGCGAGAAATAAAATTTTCTTTGGCGCTTGTGATGTTCGGATTTCCGCAGTCAGGTCAGGAATACTCACGTAAGGAAAACTTCACGTGAACAAACACGAGACGAGATGACGTGACAAGAAATTGACCGAGCGATACGTGGCGGAAGAAATTGCATCACGATGGTTACGCGCTTGGTTGATTCCGAGCGCGTTTTGGTTGACGCGCATGTGTATAACGATAAAATGCAGATATCAGTCGACAAATATTTAAATGATAATCATGCAAACGATGCGGAAGATAAGCTGTTCTTGCAAAGTCCTCATCTAACCAGGGAACATATGTATTCGGAACAAAAGAGCAGCCGACGAGAAAAGTTTTGTCTTCTTAAAAACCGCGCGGAGAGAAAAACTTATACGCGATGCTAAATTTTCTTCCCGTGCATAATGTTATTGTTGCCACAAGGAAACTTAAACATTATAAGCATAGAAATGAAATGTAGTTTTGTTATAAAAGTTGTGTGTTTTAATGCGGACATTAAGGAAAACGAATGATGTAGCTCGGCTCACCGTTTCCCGTCGTTATGATGTTTCCCAGCTGCCAAAATTTGCTCAGGGTTTTCCCGCTTTCCTCTGGCGTAACCGATTCCGACGTACCGGCTTCCGGTGTCGTCGTTACCATCTGCAACACGTTCATTTTAACGTTTACGAATTGTCTAGAATAAAACACAAATATGTATATGCATATGTGTTATCTTATTTGTGTTAGGAGCTGTAATTATTTGCAAGCTTTTAAACTACACGTACTTATTTTAGTAATTACTTTAATTGTGGCAATTATTGTTAAGGAAGTATTTGCATTGCGTATATATAACATGAATATTTGTATTGTTAGAGAATACATATATTATTAGATGATAAATTATTCTTGTGTTTTCTATATATATAATTATTTCTATATATAATTTGTAATATTATTTCTATATATAATTCTTGTTCTATATTTTATAAAGATTTAATTCTGCAAATCCGGGACATTAATGTCTGAGCGATTCTCGAAAATGAGAAAATCTTATTAACTATTTAGCGGAGAAATTTCTAAAAAATAAAAAATAAAAAATATATAAAACCTAATGTTTGATGAACGTTGAATAAAGCTTCATGAATTTTTACGGAGTTTTTGCAACGTTTTAACTAAAATAAAAAAAAAATCGTGTCAGACATGAATGTCCAGGGGGTTTATGGGATACGTACTTGAAACAACACAGGATTAGGATTAAAAACTTTTCTATATCTCGTAAAAATGTTAAAAATTCTTAGAGCACAGAACCACACGGCTCTGCAATACAAGTTTGTCCGCGCCGTTCGGTGTTAACAATAGAACACCGCTGATACGAAACGAATTATTTAAGCGCGAGGCATCTCTCGGTGTCGTTCAAACATGCACAACGTCTTTGATTTAAGCCGAGAGAGAACGCGAGTATTAATTAATATCTGACCCGCAGATCTCTCTCACTGTGTCACAAAACTCTATCAGCGTGATTAGAAACGGGAAGAAATGCAGAAGAGCAGTTTCCGAGACGGGATTGGGAATTAAATACTTTTCGCCGTGAGACCGAAAACTTAGTGCTGGAATTGAGGCTAAACACGCGACTCTTTGGTTTAAGTTTCATTAGAGCGCTATATTACAGTGCGCGCTTCTCGCAAGAATTATCGCCGCGGGGTCTCAACTTACAAACCTCGGAGATTTTAATCAAGAGTCACCGTGATTCCGTTACCCGTATTTTGTGTTCGCTAGAGGGTGACAAGAACCTTCGCGCAGGTCTGCGCGCGCGAGCGATTTACTTTTATGCAAAACTCGCGAATAAGGTAGAAACCGGCAGTAGTTGTGTATTTATTTTATTACTTCGACAATTTGCGATTTAAATTGTAACGCATTTTGCTGAATACAATTTGTTTGTTATTTTATGTAATTTAATATTTATTTTATGTAATTTAATAACGTAATAATCGTTTTATTCTAAATATATTATATATTTTATATATTGTTTTAATTATTTGTTTAATTATTCAGTGAATTCATACAGCTAAAATTTAACAATTATTTGTCATAAGTTTTTGATATTTTTTAATGAGTTTTTAAAATAAGACAAATTTGATAGATAACATAAGATACAATAAATTTCCACACACGTGTAAGTTGAGAACAAGCGATCAATTATAATAAAAAAAAAAAGATACTATTATATATCGTTTCTTTTTGTTGGATGACTGTGGGGAAAGCGGCTCGTATTCAATTTCTGTATTCCGCAGCATTCGGTGAGTGTATTTTCATTTGTTGGCGCGATAGTTCTAATTTTCAAAACCTTGCTTTTGTATCATCACTCAACCTACAGACGTACACGTACTCAGTTTCTACGATCGACACGCGAATTCTCATTTATTCCCCGTATTTCTATTTGCACAAATCTAAAGATACCACACGAGATGGCAAAATTCAATTTTCTTGCCTTCTTCGGGAAGACAAAAAAAAAAAAAAAAAAAAAAACAACAAAACAAGAAAAACGACCGCGGTTACTTCCTCCGGCGAACTTCTGTTCTTCCGTCGAAAACGCCAACGCCACGTAGATAGGTAGGTATATTCCTTTTCCCGGGCTTCGATCGGAGTCGGTGGTGACCTTTGAAGTAGGGCGATGGTAAATATCCTTGCAGATACACAAGCAACGGCGCTGCATGGAAAAGCCAATCTCGTAATCGAGATGTAAATTGCACCCGCATCTGGCCGATTGCCAGCTCTCACTCTCTCCTCTCTATCTAACCTCATCTCTATCGAATTTCCCTGGCTGTTCGTTCGTGACACGGGTGGTCTTCCGGCCGCGCGAGCTCTCCGCGTCCGTGGTGCTCTCCTCATCACCTCCTTCTATCCATTTCACATACGCGTCTAGATTTCCTTTGTGAACTGGGCTCTATTATTCCGATTCATGTTGAATGTGGCATATAATGCGAAATTTGGTCCTGGAACGATTCCAGTTTGGAAACAAGTCCACAAGGACCTCCCGAGATTTGATCCAGAGGTTGCCGTTTATGAAACGCGACAACGTTGAACGCATGCTGTGTGTTGTGCATACACACACCGGAGGAACATTAAGCGCGCGACAGATCGCGGTCTGCTCCATCCTCATTTCCCCGTTTATATACCAAACCCACCCTACGTGGCATACCACTTCGTCAATCGCGCGCGCACCTCGTTTACATGAATAGAAGAGAGACGTTTCGTGTCGTTATTGCGTCTGACGTGTATTTGATTACATCGCGTGTAATTTTCGACGAGCAGATATCATTGATTTTGCGCTAACAAAATTGTACGGAAACGCGCGCGCGCATAAACAAATTTCCCGGATTTAATCTGCGGATTAGAATATCTCCGTCTGTAATATGTTTGACACGTATCCGAGCAGTTTAATTAATCACGACTGTGTTTTGCGCGGTGTCCGATCCGTTTTTGAAATATTAGATTTATTACATCCGCGTCGCTCGATTCCGCGGCTGTTACTCTGTATCCGTGAATTATTAAATTTTACGTGAAAACTGCGCTCGCATACTGCAAAACGGTGTATTACACGCGCGCGTACGTAGATGTTGCGCGTCCGTTCTCTGACTGCGTCAGTTTTTTTTTTTTTTTTTTTTGCAAACAGAATTATTTCCTTGAATCATTTCGAATGCAAGATTACTTTCCAGATTACTTTATATATATATATTTTTTTAAATTTTTACCATCAAAAAATCACACAGCAGGTGTTATATATTAATACACGGATATCTAGGTGCGCGCTTCGTTTCGAACGCGAAGTGTACAATGCTACAACCCCATAGCGCGAGTGCTCTCGAGTTTGCAACGCATCGAATTCCGTACTGTTAATTAATTCATAAGCACATGTGCGAAAAGTGATACACTTCTCGCGCTTGAAATTCCCGTTTCGACATTTACGTTTTCCCCGGTGGAAGTTGTCGAACAGCAACCGCATTACCGATAGCACGTGTCGCGTTTGCAAACGTTATAACATCGCCGCCGCCGCCGCCGCCGTGGCGCGAAGTTTCGAGCGCTCGTTTCGTTCGCAGTTTCCGTGCAATTGTCACCAGCTGGTCGAATTTAATCGCCGACGATATTCTCTATTTTCCGTCGTTATTTACGATGCGAGAAGAACGTTACCTATATATAGCGCGGGCGAAAATGTTCTCGGGGGAATATGGATTCTCATAAATTACAACACACTCGTTCTTTCACGAGTATTACTCTCTGTGACGAATATCTGAGCCATTTTCCGTAATGTCCCTCGCTCTGTGTGCACGGAACGCTCCTCGCGCTGGCGTAATACTCTCTCGTTACGCGCATTTTTACAGATAATACTCTGTGCAAATATTTTTTGCTTCAGCTAGCGTTTGTTTCAGGTCAGCAAGCGTGTGTGTGTGTGTGTGTGTGTTCCGTAAAACATTTAATGTGTTTTTTCTTTCTCTTTCAGATACTTTGAGTTTTGATCTTGCTAAATCTCTCTGCGGGTACAACAGTACGTAGGAATAAGTAATTGTTCAAAGCAATAAACACAATATTTTTCAAATATATTTTCCAACCGTTTAAAGCGCGCGCGAATGTTGAAATCGACACTCGGGTCGGTCTGATGGCCGGTCGCGACCCACAGCTGTGCGCGTGCAACGCGCAATTTACGATCTCGGAGAGAAGAGTGTAATCGCATGATAGATGAAAATGGCGCGGTGTGCCCATGTTTGCCTAGACAGTGACGGAAAAAACGTCGCTCGCGCGCGCGCGCGCACGTGCGCACATTTGCTTCCCGACTTATCGGTCACCCACAGACCATGATAAATAACCGCATTAAGTTGAGAGCGCGCGAAGAGAAAATTCGCAATGAGAAAAAAAAGAGTAGATGGAAAACACAAAAAAAAACAGCAGGTTAGGTCGCGGGCTCCGTCGCGCATCTCGTAGTTGGAATTAAATTTCGTAGTCGCGTGGGTGGCGCAAGCTTGCGCGCGCGTTCAAATGGGAATTAATTAAGCCACGCATTCGTACGCGAAAATTGCGTTAAAGGCGACATTTATTAGAAATGAAAGCGAGCGGTCGAGAATATATATGTACGCTTTACCGAAAATTATCTTCCGCTTTAGTATAGCGCGGGAGTTTTATTCAAACAAGAAATTCTTATCTGTGTCTTTTGTGAAAGTTTCCGATGTGACGTGTAACAGATACGTTGCCGCACGCCGGTCTTTTCATTACACTCGAGATGAGAATAACGTGAAAAATATACGTCTCGCGCTCGGGAGCAGCTTTTCACGTGTATCGATTGTATCGATAAAAGAATTTCGGCTTGAAAAGCCTGTAATCAGAAAAAAATAGCGAACGGAGCGAGAAAGAACTTCGTGCAAACATAACCGTTCTTAATATGCGGATATTTCAACCATCGTGAAAACCGCGCGCTCAAACCACCGAATGACAAACGATGCGTTCGGCTTGACTGAAAAATGGGCTCCGCCGCGCGAAATATACGGATGGTATCGATTCGGCGGGTGATTTCTCTGATTTATCGCAATTCTTCTCGACGTATTCGAGAGAGCGTACGCGAACGCGGGGCTTTCTCAGTTCCCTCCCTCTCTTCCCCGGACAAAAATGTG